ACATGGCACTGCTCATCAGGCCACACTGAGGCGGTATCCCACACGCCGCAACTAGAAGGACTCAGAACTAAAATATACAACTGTGTACCGGGGGGATTTGGGGTGAAAAAGCAGAAAAAAAGAAAAGAAAAGGGAAGAACTCCTTTTACCTGTAGCAACATGGATGAATCTCACAGACATAATGATGGGAAAGAAGCCAGACACAAAAGAGTAATACTATATGATTTGTTTACATGAAGTTCAGTTACAGGCAAAACGAAATCCATGGTGATAGAGGTAAAAACAGTGGCTACCTCTGGGCACGGGTACTGGTGGGAAGTGGGTGAGGAGGTCTTCCAGGGCGCTGGCTATGTTCTGTATCTTCATCTGTGGGCATGTCAGGGGCATAGGCATATGTAAAAAGTCACTGAGTTGTATACCTAGATTTATTCATTTTATCGTATGTATATTATGGCTCAATAAAAAATAAGTGTCCACAAAAGCAAGTCGTTCTAATACATAAGCCAGGACTATCTGCACCTGTGAGGTTTAAATCACCATCAGTCAGCGCTGAGCATCCGGAAAGCTTATGAATGAAAAAACAAGAGTCTGTCCAGAATTCTCCCACCGCTTCCTGTCTGAGTGAGCTTTGAAGGAATGATGGCTGGAGGCGCTGTGAGTCCTGGAAAGCAGGGCTGGGTGACAGCTGCCCATGCTGGTGTTTACAGGAGGCAGGCATGGTGTGGATGTGTGAGGACAACAGGACAGACAGTGGATCCTGTGGTGCTCATGGCTCAGGCAGGGCTGGGGTTAGCCCTGGAATGACTATGGGTGAAGGTACAGAGCTGGGGTAGAGAGGTGGCTATGATCAGACCTCAGGGGAGGTGTAGGTGCATGGAAGTGAGAGGCCATGGTCAGCTGAGGGCTGGTGACATGGTGGGGAGGGCTGGGAGGTGAAGCCCTGTGGTAGCAGGACCAGGTGAGGGCACCCGACTGAGCTCTCTGTGCTCAGACACCTCACTGGGATGCACCACCTCAACCCCCTCAAGCTCACCAGATCCAAAACCAAATGCACCCTCCTTCTCTGAAAATAAGGTCCTCCTGAGTCACTCGCTTCTGTTGCTGGCAACTCCGTTCTCATGATGACCTGCATCTGGCTACTTGGAACTATCTCTGACTCCTCTCTCCCTTTCCCCAACAGCATCTGAGCCTTTCCATTGTTTCTACACTCCATTCTTGCATTTGCTCATTCTCCAAGAACTTAGTCTGGTACAGGACAGACTAACAAGAGTATTTTTAATTTACCGCTTGCTATGTGCTGGGCACTGTGCTAAACACTTATATATTATTTCCCTTCATCTTTGCAAAAATTAAAGGACAAAGCAGGTAAAATAGATTTCCATTTTACAGATAAGTAAACTGAGGTGTGGAAAAGTTAAATAACCCCAAGGCCCCAGAGCTAGGAGGTGATAGAGTTGGGTTTCAAATCCAGTTCTATCTGACTTCAGCGATGCTCCTGTATGTCCCTCATGCTTGCTGACTGCCCCTGTGCAGTCTTAGCCTTCTTTACGTCAGTAGCTCCTAGCAAAGTCTGTTTCCAGACAAGGCCCTCAAATAAGTAATGTTGGCATTGCTCAGAGACCCTGACCGGAGAGAATTTAGCAAGGGTTTATAACTAAAGATCCATCTGCTATAATTGAGGGAGATGTACAGGTAACAGAGAATGAGCAATACCCAATAATTTCTAGTTGCTTCTAGAATGCTGTTGGCAGAGGACCACGCTCAAAGGCTCTGGGCCTGGTCTTGACCTTCTTCCTGACACCGGGCTTCTGCTCGCAGTCCAGCGGGGTGGGGGGTGGTGGGAGGAAGGGAACACAGGTCCAAATTCCAATTGTGCCTGTGCCCTGGGAGATGCCACCTCATCCACCCAGGGGGCGACAGACATATCAGTATGCCCTTAGATGGGGCACTCACAACTGTGCTGAAGCACAGTTGTCACTCACACGGTCCTAAAATTCCTGTGTTCGGCACATGCTTCTGAACACTGCCCATGCTTCCATAATCAAGAGGCAGCCTGGCTGTGGCCTGAGGGTACCATAAAATCTGACTTGCAAACATTATCAGGCACATGGACCAGCTGTCCGGAGGAGCTGATGAATCCCCAGCAGAAACTCCAGCGTGCAGCACGCGTGCCATCTGCAGAGCACACCCGCGGACACACACCAGGCCCTTTCTGCCTCGTAAAGAGGCCAGGCCGGGGCAGAGCCTTGGGAGGAATTTTATAAACAGCTGGGTTGTCCCAGAGCCAGAAAATGAAGGTCTTTCCAACTCCCTTGCACACATACATTAGAAGGTGCCCCTTAAAAACTTTTCCATAAAATAAAGGGAAAAGGGACTTAAGACGAATCTCCATTTTTATTTTCTGTTCTTTTAATCCCTGTCTTGATGAGAGGCAGTCAGTGCAGCTTACGAGGGCACATGCAACAGAGCCAGCCACACCTGGATTCAAATCCTGCCTCCACCCTTTTACTGGCTGTGTGACTCTGTACAAGTTACATAACCCCTCTGAACCTATTTCTAGTGTATTTATTGTTATTTACCCACTCAGGCCTGACATTTGGTGGGTATTCTATAAGTGCCCCTGCTCCTTCCTTTTCCTCTGATGCAGGACAGCATTTCTTTTATTCTCCTTGCAAATCCTGGGGCCCCACAGCCTTAGTTTTTTTCCTCCAGTTTCATTTACTTCTCTTTACTTATCTCTTTCCAGTGTCTGGCATGGATCTGAAGACATTCATGAAAAAGAAGAGAGTGGGAAAAAGAATTTTAAGAGTGAAGGGTGGGCTACTCTATTTGGAAGGTAAAGGAAACACGGGACAAAGGGTATGAAGCTGATCCTTTGAAAGGTGTCAGGACAGCATCTGGCAAAGTGATAGGGGAGGTGAGGACGCCACCAGAAAGGCATTCAGGACAGCTGACTGGAGAGGAAGGCGGAGCTTGAAGGCCAGGGCCGAGGCGGCTGCTAGGGCCCTGCTCCATAGCAGCAGTGAGCTGTGAGGGGAAACCGTGAGGGCGCCCCCACACGCTGCCCCCTCGGCCCCAATCACCCAGGGCCACGGCCAGAGGGATCTCACTCCATGAACTAAGTATCCGGGTCCTGTCAACAGCGCCCCTGCCAGCCTCCTGGGGCTTCTGGCCCTGCCACCCTCTCATTTATTGATGGTTCAAGGCTGTAACCCACATTCTACAGAGCCCGAAGTTTGAGCAAAGGGGAGAAACAATCCTGCACCCCTCCCTCGGCACCAGACTCTGGTCACCCCCGGAAGGATGCTTACATGACCGCCTGCCCAGGCCGACTCTATGCTCACCCCTTCCTAAATCAAATATTCATGGCTCACAAGCGTCACCCGCTCTCCTCTCCTCCCGGGTCTGTGAGTCGGGATCTGACAGGTTTGCCTCAGGGTAAGCTCTCTCACGTAGGGCCAGGGCTCAGACCCGGTGGCGCTTCACACCCGCTCGGCTCACCCTGACTCAAAATCACGTCTCCACTGCTCTCTGGGCTGCCAGCACCCATCAAAGCCGCGCATGTGCCTTTGATTAGAGAGACGGCGCGCCATCTGGCCCCGCAGCGGCGTGCGTGTGTGAGGGACGCGCAGGCGAGCTCGCTGGGTGGGCATCTGGCTCAGGGACAAGAACTGCCACGTGTCGGGGAAACTCAAATAGCCGAGCTGTCCGCCCGACATGTAATTTAGCATTTGGACAGTATCTGTACGAGCCAGGGTCTTAGTTTAACATTTTTCCTCATCACTTGAGACTGCTGAGAATGATAAAAGGGGGGAAGAGTTGGCAAGAAACGAAAGAACTAAAAGAGAAAGAAGGATAAGAATTCCAGAGGTGGCCATTATGAAACCCAGCAGACAGCGTGGCGCTGTAATATATTCCAGCCACTGCTCAGCCGGCTCGGAAGGACTAGGCTTTGGTTAAAAACAGCGATAATGAAGGTTCCCCGCTTCCTTCAGACACACGCGTTACCTTCGACACGAGGAGGACTACATTCAGTTGCAAACAGCACACTTGATTCCACACATTTGCCTGCTGACCGCTGTGTGAAGATCCAGGAAGCCGGAAAATGACACGGCTCCCTGCTGTCCGGTGCTCTGAAAGCACTCGAAAAGCTGCCCCCTGGAGGGGCTGCTGGTCTCGGGGGTATTTTATTTACAGGTTAATTTCTACAGATCTTAGGAGGGGCTGGGATGGAGGGAGATGATTAAAGGGGTACACCTGTTCAAGCGACTATATTGTCATCTTCTGGCCTGCCTCTACGTCCCCTGTCTACTCTTCTCCCTACTCTGGACCCACCTGGACTCACCAATGGGCTCCTTTGACCGCTGGCTTCTGGTTGGGTTTGGCAGGAGATGTGGAGGAGGGCAGAAGAGGGCACTCAGGTTGATCCACCCACCGCCTCTCTCGACCAAAGGTGGCCTCTCCTCTTGGCTGCTCATTCTTAGTCCTGGTGCCCACTCCCTGCCCCTGCCTTTCAGGCCGTGGGGCCCTTGCTGTCACTAGCTCTGGGATGCGGCATCAGGCCCCGTTGGTTTTCCTAAGCCCTGCCCATGCCTTTGTAAGTAACTCCTTTATTAAATTTTCCAGAGAGCATGCCTTCCGGTTTTGCTGAGACCCTGATGGAGTGATGAGCCATTACTTGTCTGATCTCCTGGCCTGCCACAGCCCTCTTTCTCCAAAGGCAAAGTGTTCCCGGCTCAGATGCTGTGAGGAGGGCAGCCCAAGCCTGGAGGACCACGGCAGCAGACACTCCCTCACCAAAACGCAACATCTCATCCATCTATTGAACCCACTACAGCCTCCCACCTGCACAGCTGTCAGATTAAGAAGAAAGAATCCAGCTGAAGAAGGACATTTCAATATTTTCTGGAGGAACGGAAGGGGAGAAGGAACGGGGGGTTATGCAGTAAGTGACTGTCCTCGAGGACCTGATCACGAGCCATCCGCGTTCAAGTGCCCACCTTGTCTTGCTGTGTACTCGTTGTCTTCGATCAATCGGGCCAGTCCAAAGTCGGCAATCTTGCATATGAGTCCATTCCCCACCAGAATGTTTGCTGACCGCAGATCTCTGTGGATATAATTCATGCGCTCGATGTAAGCCATTCCGGCAGCAACCTGCGAAAACCGAGGGAACAGGGCACATCCGTCACATCAGGACTCGACATACTTAGAATCATCAAATCGAAAGGCAGGAATCCCGGTCTCACGGGGCCTACCTGGGCTGCCATGTCCACGAGATTTGGTAACTTCAGAGCTCTTCCTTCTCCATCTTTTAAGAAATCGAGTAAACTTCCTATGAACAAAACATAAAACCGTTTCAGTTTGCTTTGAAAGATAAAAATTCCCAACAAAAGGCTGTATTTGGTTTTCTTATTAGAAGTAATGAGGTAATTGAACAGAATAATGCCACTAAGAAAAAAAAAGGTTCATAAAAAAACAGGGTAGAAAAGACTCTATGTGTTATAAGGCAGCAGTTTTATCTTTTAAAAACAAACAATGGTGGCTCCATTTTTAAGGACAACAACAAAAATTGGATAAAACTAGAAGAAACGGGGCTCGATTCCCTTTCTGTTGTGAAGAACATGTGAAGCTGCACCCCTTCAGTCTCATTCCCTGGTCAGCCCTGAACAAAGGAGGGATGGAGGGAAAACACTGGCCAGCCGTGGTTCCCAAAACGTGGTCCCGGGAGCAGCAGGAACAGCACCCCTCAGGGAGCTTGCTGGAAATGCAAACACCTGTGCTCCACCCCACATCGACTGCATCAGAAACTCTGGACATTGGGCCCAGAAACCTGTATTTTAATCACCCTCTAGGTGAGTCTGATACACAGGAAAGTTTGAGAATCACTGGCCTAGCTAATTTACAGATTTGAAATCAAGAAAAGACGATCTGAGGAATATCGGGTGGGGCAGGTAGCTCCCCCTATGAGATCATGGCCAGTCAGGCCTTAAAGACACGTGAAAACAGCTGCAGCTTCAGAGGCACTATGACAACACAGCCAAAGGAGCTCAGAACTAACACCAGGGCTGAAACGGTCACGTGCAGAGGCTGGTTCTGCACATGATGGTCATCGGGGATTCTTTTCATGCTTTAATCACAAAGCTGTTTACCAAATAACCCTGGGTACAAAGGACAAACAGTCTGCCAGGAAAAAATTTCCAAATATATTTTAAAAGAAAGTACGTGGAAAGGAGAGATTACACTGGTGCCCTCTGATGCACAAGGCATTGCCTTTTAAGGCTGTTTCTTGTTTGGCTCATCTGTTTTTCCAAAACAAAGTGATCTTTGGCCTTATCCCAACAATATTGCTTTGATTAGAAAGACAGAGAGAGAGAGAAAAGTAGAATAAAATGAGCTCTTTAAGGGCACGTCTTTCCTCATCTGATGTTTAAGAAGAGAACTGGAAAAAACTAAGACGTTGAAAAGATGGAGACTAAACTTAGCCCAGAGACCAGAGTCTGATATTAATGGTTCAGCCCCGCAAAAAGGAAAATTAATACAAGCTATGGCATTAAAAATAACAGTAAGCTATCATAGCCCTCTGTAGCACCCCTGATATTAAAAATGAATGTTTTAATTAGGAAGAGGAGTGGGAACTCCTGACGTGTGCAGCATGTAAAAGGTACTGTGTCTCACAAGGAGCTGGGGGCAAACTCCAGGTCAGAGCCTGTTTTAAAAATGTTCTCATTAATACAGATTAGTGGTTACCAGAGGAGGAGGGGGTGGGGGGAGGGCGAAAGGGGTAATGGGGCACATATGTATGGTGACGGATAAAAACCAGACTGTTGATGGTGAATACGATGCAGTCTATACAAAAACTGAAATACGGTGATGTACACCTGAAATTTACGCAACGTTGTAAGCCAATATGACCCCAATAAAATAATTTTTAAAAGATGTTCTTATTAATGAGCACACAATTTGTGCTTCCTGGTGGGAATGCTTGACTCACGCAGAAACCAGGAAAAAACCAAGCAGGTTGCTCCACTTCCTTCCCCGATATAAGCCCTGTTAGGTCATGGTGAGGTGGAGTCTGGAGAAGCCTCGTCCCACCTTTATTCATGTACTCGGTGACAATGTAGATAGGTTCCTCAGACACCACGGCGTAGAGCTGGACCAACTTGTCATGCTTCAACTTCTTCATGATCTGCGCTTCCTCAAGGAATGACTCAGGGGACATTGTGCCTGGTTTAAGAGTCTTTATGGCTACTTTTGTGTTTCCATTCCAGGTACCTGCAGACATCCCACAATATTAAGTCAAACCAAAGACACTCTTGATGGAAAAAAAAAAAGTTTTATAATCAATAGCTATTTCCATACAGTTGGATTTTAAGTTAAAAAAACTTAATATAGTTTTTGTTGAACAAAGACAATCAAATGTAAGGACTCTGTCAAGTATTTTCACAGGAAAAATGTGTTTACTTATGGCTATATTATGGTTTATAATTCTTTTAACTTTTTTCTTATTTTGATATATACCACCACTTTCCTTTTCTGGCTCAGCCATATGATTACAAATTTGTACCAGAAGTCTGGACATTTCTTTATAGGATGACAGTCCAGGGTGTAGGACAGGCCTGACCATCCAACAGCCATCCGTTAGGCAGCAGAGCGAGGCTGGAAGAAATCAGACTAAGTCCCATTTTTGGGGGTGTGCCATTTAAAAGAATAGGGTAACACACTAAGGATGTCTGGAATTTACCCCTAGACTTTCAATTGTCTGCAGTGGATGAGCTACTTGACTGAGTCCTTGAACAGCTGATCTATAAGTAAGATTATAAGCATGCTGATAAGCACTGGCAAGGAGCTCACAGTCTACTTGCCCATGTTTCAACCGGGTGAGGACAATTCCTCAGGTTTACTGATGGTTACCACAACAAGAACAATGGCTTGTATCAGCTAGACTGGAAAAATTAAACAGCAGCTAAGAGGGAACAGAAATATTTACACTTAATATGTTAAAAAAATCTATTAGGTCCAGAGGCAGGCCTGGTTTACGAGCATTGGTTACCTCTTCTGTAAAATACAGGAATGGAACTGGATTATCTTTTAAGTCTCTTTCAGTCCCCAAATTTAAAAATGTCTAGGTTCTATGTGTATTCCATTATTAGTCCTATGATTTTGATTAAAACTATTGATAACGGAAACAAAAATCTGCTAAGTTAGATTACGTTATTTTCTATTTGGAAAAGAAGGCTGGTTTAAATTAAGAGTAATGTTTATATTTAGTATAACTGATTTAGAAATAAAAAATTCTGTAAATTGGAGCAACTTTTGTTACCCTGCCAAAAATGTGGTTCATAGAATTACAACATGCAACCCACGAAAATATAAATTATGAAAGAACAAGGGGCTTAAGAAGAGTTAGTTCAAATCTTATAAAATATCTGATCACTAAATGTAAATGAGAAACTTGACAATTTGTAGGTGGTCTTTGCTACTTGAGTGCTGCTCTGGGGTGTTGTTAGCATCCCCCAATTTTAAACAGAGATCTTCCTCTCTAACAACAACCCGGTTACCTACATTGGCATTCCACGCTGATCCTGAACTACAACAATACCATGTTTTACATTTAGTGGAAAAAAAAATCTTGATAATATGTGTAATGATTTAAAGTTGGTAATCATAAAGGTTGAAGATAAATTTTCATACAGGGTCCAATTCTTCCTGGTTATATGAGTGATTGGATTAAAATCCTTAAGGTCCAAGCTTCAATTATAAATCGGGCAGGTGAGGGAGAGGAAGGGCATATAAACACATTTCACAATACTTGAGTTAAAGTCCAGCAAGAGATGGATACAATAATGTGGACTCTCAACAGCAATAGTAATGATAATACCTATCACAATAGCTCAATTTCTGACAATACAGTACTCATGTCTGAGTATCTATCTCTATCCCTACATATGTGTAGTACTTACTTGTTGCCAGGCTCTGTTCCCTGTGCTTTACTGTATTAAATTTTTTAGTGCAGACCACACCTAAACTGTGACAGCCACACACAGCAACAGGTACCTATCTATACTGTCTTTAACCGAAAAAGAAGAAAGAGGATTCCATAAGCACCAACACTGTCTTACTGGCAGATGATTTTGGCTGGGGCCTGAGGCCATGGATTGTCTCTAAGAAAAGCTGCAACCAAACAAAGGGTGTTATGAAAGCTGTGGGAGGGCCCAGTGCAGTGGGTCTTATCAATGACCTGAAACCCAAATTAAGAGAAGTATGTGTGTAGTGAATACCTACTATGTGCAAGGGACTCTAAACATGTTGTCCCATGTAATCCTCAAAACAATCCTATGAAGTGGGTACCATTCCAATTTTACAGATGAGAAAACTGAGGCTCAAAGAGGGTAGAAAAGCCCCTTGCCCATGGTTAATCAGCTAGTAAAGATTCAAACCCAGGCCCACTGAGCAAAAAAGCCCTGGTCTATCCCTATAGAGCCCACCTGTCGTATCTTACCTTCCCGTGTCTTAGGGAGAAGAAACACCAGATGCTTATTGTATTGGCTTCCTGTTTTGTGCATGCCTTAATTAACCACACGAAGTAGGACAGAGGAGTACAGCGAGGTATTGCCATATTCTGAAAATCTGGATAGGCCATCTAGCTATCCACGTTAAGTGTCTTGGTCCCAACGGCTGTGTGTGTGTTTTTGTTCAAAACCATCCTTTTAATTGGCTTTGAGATGCAGCCAAAACAAAATGTGCCCTCTGCCTTACCAAGCCACACTTCAGCGAAACACCCCTGACCCAGCTTCTTCTCCAGAAACAACGAACCACGTGCAACTTCCCAAGCATCTTTAGCCAATCCAGAAGTTTGCGGGGTACAACTCGATGCAATCATAGTTAAGTTAAAACACAAACCATCAGCTTTCTCTATAGGAAAGGGAATTAATAAAGAAAACAGTCCTTATAATCCATAATCATGCATGCACTAGGAGAGATGGAAGGTGATGTGCCCTTGAGGGCGACACTGAATTCACTGGACAAAATTTGCAGTTTGAAATGAAGGGCAAGGCATTTGGTGCAGGCTGGAACATTCCCTGCATCATTTACTGGTATATATTAGTGTAAGTCGAGTCATTTACCAATCTTGAACACCTACTATGTCTTTTCTAGAAATTCCAGGATTCCAAAATCGAAATTATTATTCCCCATTATTAGTAATTCCAACTTTCTTCCTGGTCATAAAGTCTTTATTTTCACCTTCCATCTCTGATGTTTGGGACTTCCCAAACCAGAAAGCTAGTAAGAGAGTAATTGAGTCTCAGCATACCCATCCATACTTCCCCAAACTGCCCATTTCCCAGTCTCTTGATCAACTGCAGGGATTCTCGAGGGATTTCCCAGACATCTTTGGTTTTGACAGACAGATCGGTAAGCCTTGGCATCCCTTTGTGACAGGGAACTACTAGGCGGCAGCAGAGACCTGCGGCTCTCTCTGATGGAGCGGGAAAGCGGCAGGAGAGGGAGAGAAAGCAGAACACGTGAAACAACAACACTTACAGGTGCAACAAACCCAGCCTGCGCACAGCGTGCCTCAACACAGTGCTGTTGGCAGAGAACTACACGCATCTTGGAAGACTAGACGCCATACATTGAAACACATTCATTGGAGGCAGAATAGAGGACAATTGGACCACTCCATACCCCCAGGTATAATATAGCCTATACATACAAACAGATATAGACTGTTCGTTTTCTACACTCACTAAGAAAAATGTTTTCAGCCCAATGTCCTAACAACATGTCTTCTGGAACCCTGAAAATACCTCCACTGATTTCAAAAGATACATTTGGACTACACAATGTCAGCATGACTGTCCTTTCCCCCTCTAGTATCAAAGGTTTAGGGACTCTCTGGTATGAATATATTTAAAGTTGTAACTTCAGTACAGATCTCTTCTATAGAACATTACACTGCTATAAACTAGGAAGGCTAAAGATTACAGCTGGCAGGGGGAAAAAGAGGTCACGGGTCTCTAGTGATTTCTTTGGCATTTTAACTGACTCTATTCTACCAGTCAGATACTCCCGCTTCTTTGATATTTCCCATTAAAAAAAATCTTTATAACAGTCTCTGAGGTGTAATTTAGGAGTCTGATTTGAAAGCAGAAAGAATGGAAACTAAAATCTGCAGAAACTCGAGGATATGAGAAAACTCTTTTCCTATGAAAAAGAGAAAGTAAAAAATGTAGTTATCATACATTATATAGAGAGTTTTTTTCCTTTTTCTTTTCTTCTCTCTCTCTCTCTTTTTTTTTTTTTTTTTTTAAAGAATATGCCTTTCAGAATCTAGTGGTGGTGAGGGGAAATTGCTTAATTGCAAAGTTAAACATCGGTTAGGTGAGAAAAGGTAAGAAAGGACAAGGAATCAGGGAAGTGACAAAAGCTGCAGAGAGCCTGGCCTATGAGGTGACAGAGCCCCTGGCATACCCCATACCCCCCTGGAGGCCCCTCGAATCCTGGGGAAAACCAAATGCAGTGCTGTTGCCTTTTCTCCAGGAACCAGCTGTAAGTTACTTTTTATGCCTTTCTTTTTGATAGAATCAGGTTCTGAGATGTTTAGACAAGAAATTATTTATGTGTCAATATTTCAAAGGCATTTTATTGTGTGAGAGAGAGAAGGAGGGAAGAGGAAAAGCCAATATAAAAACAAATCTAACTGGAGATGGATTTTTTTTTTTGAGATTAAAAAATGTCTATTGCTCTTCAGATCCCTTCTCTCCTCCCAGCTTTACGATGTTATTAAGGTGCCCTTTCCAACAGAATATTTTCAAATGATCCAAACCCTGGGGATCCTGCTGATGTTCGGCTGTAATGAAATACATTTTGGCATTTGAAAAATCCTTCCGACATGCAGGCATTTTGAGTATATTACTTAAGCTCAGGGAGATATTCTGCTCCATTTCTCTCAAATATTCCATTAGGATCCACATAAATGAAAGTTACCCACATAAATGCCTAATCAGCTAGTGCTCTGAGTGTGGTTAATTTTTTCACTTGCTCATTAGTGCCCAGGATCAAGAGATGGGCATTTCTTACTGCCATTTTCAAAAGATTGCTTTTTTGGGGTGCTAATAAATTATACACACATATTTTTTAATGAATGTGCACAGAGCAATAGTTGAGGTCCAGTCATGTACTATTCTTGGGGTTTTGTCATTGTCCTGAAGAACAATATAAAATGTATATATACATCACACAAAAAATTACTGGGTTTAATGGGATATAGATCTATGTCTGTACACGTATATCTATATCTATATCCACCTGTGTGTACATATTATATAGTGGGATATACTGGCTAATCTAGGAAAGAAAGCAATCATTTTAACACTTTGCACGTAAGACCACATTCTTTAATAAAATGCACAAATTGCACACTTAAATACCTAATAAGCATATATTTCTAGGAACAACAAACTAACGGTGACAGCTGGGTTTTAGGACAGAGACTGATCTACCGTTGAAAAGTTTAACTGATCACAATAGCTGCAGCTGATCTAAGAGCTGTGCGCCACGGGAGTCTAAGACTGAGAAATCAAGTCTTGGTGACGAAGGAGAACACGATAAACGGACTGCAAAATTCAGCCAGTCCTAAGAATGAAGTGCTCGTGCGGCCATTCCTGTGACAGTGCTGGGGCTGAAGTGACGGTAGGAACGCAACATCCCCTGTGGGAATTGCCACGTAAGTACCCTCCCAGAGGCTGGTCCTTGTCCCTTTTTCCGTTTCTAGATTCTACACTGCAGGGGAGTGGGAAAAAGGTGATTCCTTTTAAAATTGAACCTATTGCTTCCTACTTGAGGAACTAGAATGTTATGGAATCTTTTGACAAACATATGGAACTAATAATAAGTGTGATAGAAAAACATCAGTAGAACCTAGGCAGCCAAGTGCCACCCTGAGGGGCTGGCAAAGAAAACTATCCTACCAGCCACTCTGTATACATCTGTTGTACCTCTTCCCCCCGCCTTTCCCCTTTCTGCTCTGTGCCCACCCACTTCCTCCAGTGCCCAATGGTTGGTAGCTAGTTAGGATCAAGGTTACCTGAGTAATGCTGTACAAGCTGCTGAAGGGTTTCAAACTGGGCCCGGGTGGTGATATAGTATCCACCATTGTCAAGTTTGCGAATTTTATAATGTTTGACGTGGTCTCCTTTCATATCATCCCAATCACGGATAGAAAGTGAATAGGCACCTGGTAAATATGCAAAGCATTAGCAGCCCCAATCATTTTGACGACTCAGTTGTTTTTTAGGTCTTATTTACTTGACTATTCTGATTAATAATTATCGACAGACGCATGCACGTACACACACACACACACACACACACACTTCCACTCAGTAACACGGAAAGAAAACATCTCTTTCCTGCAAATGTCAGAAGATAGTAGCAATAGAATGATTTTACCCTTGAGAATGAAAGCTTCCTGGATTTATTCCTACAATACTCAGTACACTTGTGCTGCCTGCCATGGCATAGACTCCCTCCCCTTCCCCGGGGGGAAAGATGAAGAGCAGTATGGACTTCCCAGCTGAGACTGTTGCCCTGGTCTCTGTCACCCATGGAGTACCACGGAGGCACGGGCAGCGTGTCCTAAAGAAACGTAAGGACTGTTTCGCTAGAAGTGAGCTTCCAATTTCTGCCTCACAACACCCCTCACAGGAGCAGATAAGCAGGCCTAGCAGATCAAGCTAGAAGGCCGCTGCTGTTCCCTAGGCCCAGCTCCTCTTGTGGGCTCTAATGAGTTGTTAAATAATGAAAAGGCCAGCAGTTGGAGGAAGAGCAGTCCTCGGTTATGAAAAAACAAAAGAAATGCAGAAACAACCTGTGTGATTGGCGCCTGAGGAACTAAGAGTTTCAGAAAAATCACCATTCTAAAAGACTTCTGAAAATTCTATGATCTTGTGTGCCTGGAGGAGCGAAGCGGCCCCAGCCCCTGTTTTGGGAGGAAGGTCTTGATTTCGAGCCGAGCCTGTGTAGTCCTTTTGGAGCTGTCTGCAGCTCTAGAGCCTGGAGGGAAAACTGAAAATAAGACTCCGCTCACAAGGCAGGCAGGATATGTGCCATTAAAAATCCTCGTACATTAGCGATAAGCCTTTCATCCTCTCTGACTAATCCACAGATTTGAATGACAAGCCAACTTCTTCAATGTGTTACCTTACCTTTGGTGGTTTCACTCTCGCGGATGAGAAAGGTACCTCTTGGGTTTCCAAAGGACAAAAGCTGTCGCTCAGCATCTTTTCGGCCAAGTTTTCCAAAGTACCACCTTTCAATGAGATCAAAGAAAGGAAACATCTTATAATGATCAAGTCCAAAAATGGGATAGCGTAGGCTCTTCTGACCATGAACTTTCCTCACCTCCGATTTCATCCTTAGCTGTTCCCTACATATTTTTTCCTAGCCTCATCTGGTTCCCTTTCAATCTCTTTCTGATTCCATCCCTAATCCATCTCTTCCACTCTTTAAAAAAATCAGATTTGAATTGTGGGATATTTTCCTTCCCCCCGGAGATTACAAGAACTGGTTTGTGTTAAAACTGCCACCTGTATGCATGAAGAGAGAAATCCAGGACCTTGTTTTGAAATGGCAACTGCAGGAGACCCGTCCTACATGCATCTACAAGACTCTGGATTTCTGAGTGTAATTACAACCCCTGGGAAATAGCAAAACACAGTCTTAGTGTACATATGGATCATTAATCAAGCACCTAAAAAGTCAGTGAGAATGGATAAAAAACAAAGACATTTTCAGTAACTTCCTACCTACAGGAACTCTGAGAAAAATTGTCAGGACTCCCCTAATTGGAGATGACTCCACCCCAGGAGGCTTGTTTTTATTTTCTTCCTGTCCAGCAGGTGTGAAGACGTGGAGGAGTCAAAGATACCTGCCAGGCGTCTGGGCTGTGATCTGCACGTGTGGGCTCCGGCACAGCTGCAGGGCCAGGGCCCCGAGCACGGTCAACGAGCACGTCAGTCAGAACGACTGCATGTCGCTGACGTTTCATATTTTCCCCGTAATGACACTCGTGTGCCACTTGAGGAGGTGTCATGTCAAGTCACCTCGTGACCTTGGTTATTTGTCTTTTATGTCTCCAGCCCTAACACGGCCTGGCAATTAGTTAACGTCTCAGCGCTAGGTGCTGAACGAGCAGCAGGTGCTCCAAGAACCCAAGGGAGAACTGGGGAGCATTCCACTGGAATCTGCACAGAGGAACAATTTTTAGAATATTCAACTGTAGAGGATCCAGTTTCTAAAATGAAATTTCAATTCATTAGACTTGAACATAGCTATTATGTGTTCCCTGTCAAATTCTTTTGTGAATGAAAGAGCTTCACGACAATAAGGAAAGACACACTACATGTCAGCTCCTCAGAGACTTTTAAAGGCACCAGACTGCGCACAACCCTACCCCAGCTCTAGGTGGTATAAAGAGAATTCCACCAATTACTTGTGTATCAATAACCCAATTAAAATGCAGTATAAACACAAACGGTGGTGAAGAGAGAGCTGTCAGAACAATGGATTGTACCAAAACAATCATGTTTTAAGGTAACAGTAATTAGTTACATCTGTAAAACCATAGGCATTATTTTTTTTAATGCTATTTTATTCTCTAAAAACAAAGTATTTTAAAAAAAATTGACCATTATAAATATAACAAATACGTAGTGGGTAGGTTCCCAGTTAAATCAAAGTAATGCTCTATTTTCGTGGTACCTTTTATTCTGAAAGAACACAAAGATGTTTGCAAATCTGCTCTAAAGTAAAAATTCAATACAGATTCCTTTATTCACTGATGGTAAAACACTCTCACTAGGAGAAAAAAAGAGCTTAGAACCACTGAGTATTTGAGAGCGGGGAACAAAACACATCTTCTTAGAGGAAATACAAGAGAATTAAAGATGAGAGAGCGATCCAGTTGGGGATTGGCTAGCATGTGAGTCTAATCCCCCTTGCAGGGCTTAAACAAACCCAGGGCAAAACTAAATACCAGAGCCAAAGGTTGGGCTCTGTGGCTCACCGTTCTAGACCCCCTTTCTGGTAAGGTAAGACTGCCTCCACCGAGCAGGAGAGGCAGGTCCCCAGGGAACAGGCGGGATGCCGGGTTCCCAGTTTGGGAAATCATGGCTCAGTTCCCTTTCCCTCAGTTCAGAAATTAGGGTTGACACACAAGCCACTCTTGCAGTCCTCCACTTTGGAAGTGCTCACAGATCCCCCAGGTCAGGAGACGGAACAATGGCTATCCCTTCTAGAATAACCACAGCCTGTCCACCACCTTCCAAAACTGTTACCAGTGGACTCTTTGGGCTGACTGTTAGTCACTCTTCACTATCAAAGAAATCAAGTGAGACCCCAAATCAAAGGGAAGGACCATCTGAAATGCATCCCCACAGTATTTTCCAAGTCATGGGTTACACTGTATGTGACATGCCTCTATCTGGGGCATGGCAGGTATGTCTTTTCAGTGTTCCTCTAATATTTCGGATTACACAGAGGGGCAAAAATCTCAATTTGATCTTTAACAGTTATTTGCTCTTCTCTGTTTTCTTCCCTCCCTCCCCTTCCCCTTCTTTCTTCTTCTCCCTCGCTCTCTTTTCTTCAGCAGACTGCAAACTTAGAACCTTGGGTCGGCAATAACACATGGTCTAGCTGCAACATTATTATGGTTACTTTCTATCTGTGGCAAGTAATATTGGGTTTTCACTAAGGGTATTGATATAAAGTTTCCTTTCAAAATAAATGTTTCCAAAAAGTGAGCAGGCTTAAAGAGAAATATTAAGTTAATAACAGCACAAGTATTACATGTATATGGCAAAACCCAGGGCAGAAAGCCTGGGAAACACTGCATTACCACATTCTCTCACCCCTTCATCACTCTAGTGAATTTCTTCTCCCTCCTGCACCATGTTAATGTATTTTATTGTGGCAACTAACTTTTAAAAGCAAGTAGTTAAGTAAAAACAACAAAACAAAACATACTCTTCTGCCTGGATAGAGTCCACTGGAGCCACATAATTGCTGGGAATGTAACCCGTCTCTCCGGTCGTCAAGGAGCGGGCTTCCCACCAGTCTCCTTCCCTGCAGAGAAAAAAGAGCAGAAGGGAACACATTCACCACTTCAATTTCTGCAGTTACAGACCCAACGCTGGAAGAACAGATGATGATTCCCTAGTCATTCTGCCACCTGATTTCTCCAGACTCCAAACAGCCTTCTGTGAGGGTCAAATGGCTACAACCTGAGTCGACTGTGAGTTGAATCCAGCGATGTCTCACACCTCTTGCCTTATTTGTGAATTAAGAACGTAGGACCCCGCCATGGAGGGCTCTTTTGCAGGGGCCACTTTACTTGGTAAGTGTCCCCAAATTGGGCAGAGGGGAAGGGACCCAAATCCAGGCTACTTAAGAAAAATATTGTAACAACAAAATGGTAATTATGTGAGGTGAAGGATGTGCTAACTAACCTTACTGTGGTAAACAGTTCACAATGTATCAACCCATCACACTGTATACCTTAAACTGACACAATGTTATATGTCAATTATATCTCAATCAAGCTGGAAAAAAAATAAAACAAGCACTAACAGTACTAATTTAGCTAACAGTCTCTATTTCCCACCCCCACCTGAGGCAACCAGCATCCTTTGGTCCTGCTGGAGAGATGCAAGCTGTTGGCTCTAGTGTTATTTTGTCAGCCATTAAATGATTCATCAGAGAAAAAAAAAAAAAAAAAAGAAAAACATAGCTGCAGATCCTCTGAGAAAGGAAGCATGCTAGGAGCCCGGGAAGGGATGAAGGCACACTCGGAATACCTGCCTTGCTTGCTCTCAAGAAAATGGGTAGAAAAATACCCAAAGGCAATAGATTAAGCCTTGCTCAGACATTTTCAACCTGAGGTTATTCCATCAACTCTTTGTAGCTCTGACCTGAGTGTGGGGGCAGGAGAGGAAGGGCGGGTGTAGCTGTGTGTGTACAAGGGCAGCGGAGAACGAAAACTCGCTCAGGGAAGGAGAGTCTTGGTCCCACCACTTTGCATGGCTCCGTGTTCATGGGACAGCCTGGTCTCAATCTGTGGAGCTCTCCGAGCTGTGAGCAGAGGGACCTGAAAGGGGGCTTATGACAGCACCCTCAGCTTAAACCGAATGAGCAATGAAATGGGTGGAGTGCAGGTGCTCAGACTCACACAGCTCTCTGTGTGCCAGGCGCAGGGATGGAGCGTGAGCCTCTCCCTGTGAACAACGGTGAGCAGATGTACGAGCTATGGTGCCCACAGAACCCTCCCTCCACCAGCCTGGGGTCAGGAGTTCGAGGGGTGGGGAGACGCACGCGCCCTTGGGCAGATGGAGACCACTCAGACTTCCGATCACCAGAGGCCCAGCGCCTTCTCTCCTTCCTTTTTTGGTCTTTGGAGGCAGCAAGAGAAACCCCAGACCTTTGTTTTTTTTTTTAAATCACTTTTTGGCTGAGCTCTGTATCAAAGCCCTCAGCCAGGGGAGAAAACGTGTTGGCTTTTGGCCCTGGTCAAGATCTTCTGCAGACTCATTTAATTAGGTAGAGAATAACCAGCCTCCACATTAAACACAGGCCTTACCTGAGAGAGTCCCATTGTCTCAAGACTAACTCTGAGCGAGGTGAGTGATGAGCAACGGCTCCAGACAGTATTTAACAAAGCGACAGACAAATGGCGACAAGCCCACCGTGCTACAGGAGCAGCTGTGGGGAAGTGTTTGGTGGCACAAGTAACACAGAATAGCCCACAAGAAAACAGGGTGTTGGCAAAGGTTTTTAAAAACTTATGTTTTAATTAGCTTTTCAGTCTTTTCTTTTTCACCCTACTACACGGAATTAAAGATACATCAATCAAAAGAGGGAGATAATTGTTCTCATACCCTGAAAGTCCTTTATTAATAATTTTAAATTTAGTTCATGTCCACATTTTTATATGAAATAATTCATACATACCGAAGAATACATGTATGTATGAATACCTGTGAACCCACCACCCAACTTAAGAGCAGGACGGTCACCAGCCGTGTGGCATCGTCCTGCGTTGCTCTCCCACTGCATCCCTTTGCCTTTCAGGTTCAGATCATGAAATTAAAAATGTTAACATTTTAACAGTTTGTATTGGTTTCATTTCTATTTCCTCCAAAATCAATACAAGCACTTCTAAGTATATCGTTTAAGAACATATGTGGACGATTATTTTTTTCTTTAAACATTGCACGTGTTTAAGAAAGCGGCTTTGGAGACTATCCTCGCTGTAATATGGGGAGAACGTTTACTGCTCTGAAATTCCACTAGATGGAGACATCTCATCATCAAAAATAATACCCATCCACCCCCCCCCCCCCCCCCCACCTTCTCCTTTCTCCCTCCTTCTTCCTTTTCTCTGTCTCACACACATACCCCCGCCCCCCCCCACACCTCCCAACCCACACACACCCACCCACAACCGGGGAAATGCTCCAAAATGATGAGGAAAAAATTAAGGGCTTGCAACAGAGGCTTAATTTCTAATGCAAGATAACTTTCATCAAATTAGTTCTAATTGATTTAAATTTAGAAAAAGAAAGTCTACTATCGATCTTGGAAATGTCACCTGGGGCAGGAAGCCAAAACATTTTGTTGCCGATTGGGACAAACCCAGTCTTACTCAGATGATCTGATATTAATCAAGTAATTTTCATTTCAAATCCAGCATTCACTATCTCATTTTGGTCTCAGCACCTAAATAGTTTAGCACAGATTAGAATCCAACTATCAGCTCATTCTAAAGTCATGTATTAGGAATTCATGATTTTCTCTTCAGTGACTCCATTAATCTCACAAGGGTTTTCAGTTACTCATAAGAAAGATAAAATCCTTTTCTCTTTTTCTAGGCCATCTAGGGTCACTTTCTCCCTCAAAGGAAATATGAGGTGACAAGGACACGATGTGGTGTGGAGCAAACCTCACATGTTGTGCCCAGAGAGGCTGGACCAGACTCAAAAGATCCATCAAAAAATCTTTTCAGCAAATGAATAAACTATTTTTTAATACACTAGAAGCCCAATTCACCTACAAATAAATAATACACTGTTTACAAATCATTCATCTTGATTTAGGAAAACAGGATCTTTTTACTATGCTACTTTCTATTTCTTTACTTGAGTTGTTGTGGGTAACCAGCATTATTAAAGCTGCATTTCTTTAAACTGTTCAGATGCTTCACTAATTTAGAGTTGGTGAGATTTTCTTTAACTGTTGTCTTGCTCTGATTCAAATAGATGATTTAAACTCCGGCTCTAGTTTAGAACAGCTTTTAAGCTTTTATAACAGCTCCCCCTGTTCCTCTAATTTAAAGACTTATTAAAAGAGCCTGTTTCCAGTCCCCAAAGTTGCTCACAGGGTTTGTGGTCCCAGGAGCCGGGAGCCCCGATGGAGCCAGGAAGTGGCATTTGCAAACAGAAGTCAGCCTTGATCTGCCGAGCTGTGGAGCATTTTAATTATAAATGCTGGATTCTTTCTAAATTTGCTCACTGCCCATCTTACTTTCAGAGAGCATATCCATAACAATTTTATCAAATGCTCGGAGGGGGCTCTAACCCAGGATTTCTTCTTATTACGATGAAAAGAACTTTAAAGGAGTCACCACCCTACGCAATGAGTACTATTATTCCACTCCGTGTAAAACACATATAATATTTTAAAGAGTCACTGTTTCTGGGTGGTAAATCACTAGTCATGAAATGTGAAAATAGGGGATAAAACAGATGAATTCAAATATTTTGCAAAATGGGTTCAAGTTTAACAACGTCCAAATACACGACACTGAGCACTTACAACAGGTCAATGGACGCCCCCCCCCCGCCCCCCCCCCAGGCTGCTGCTGGCTCTGGGCACCTGCACACATGCATACCACATGGTTCATGCTGCACTTTGAAACACAAAAGCCAGCCCTGTGGCCTCGCGCTTCTGTGTCTTGACGGGGAAAGGAGTGGGAGGACACACACACTGGGAGGTGTGGCAGCTGCCCCAGGGAGAACAGAGCCCAGCCCTCTTTCAGCGGATGAGAGCCAGGGGCTGGGAGAGGCTGGGGGAGGGGGAACGAGCCGCCTGCCATCTGGTTCTGTATTATTGCTTTGTTTTTCCTTCACGATTTTCTCTTCTCTGTTATTACCCTCAGCTTCAGGATATCGTATTTGTTACACAAACCTTATTTTTTCTCCATAATCTTGAAAAAGGGCATTTAAATGGCACGTGGGATGAGGAATTCCACTGGCAAGAAGGAAGAACATTAAAGGGAAAAAAACCCTTTGTAACATCTTTTTTTTTTTTTGAGGAAAATTAGCCCTGAGCTGAGTGCTGCCAATCCTCCTTTTTTGCTGAAGAAGACTGGCCCTGAGCTAAAATCCATGCCCATCTTCCTCTGCTTCATATGTGGGACGCCTACCACAGCATGGCTTGCCAAGCGGTGCCACGTCCACACCCGGGATCTGAACCGGCAAACCCCAGGCCGCTGAGAAGTGTGGAATGTGCGAACTTAACCGCTGCGCCACTGGGCCGGCCCCTAATATTTTCTTCTAAGAGAACAGGGTCAGAAGCTCCAAGCCCTCTGTAAACAATGAAGGCCAAGCACGTGAATCACAAAATAGAGACTGAGATAGATTGGGTCTTCCTTGAATGTTTCTCCAAAATGTCAACTGGATGCCATCATAGATCCTATCCAGATTAACAAAGGAAGAAGGCACGGATTTGACTGTGGCAAGGACTGGCTTTCCAAGGGCCCTACAACCTGACACGTCGGTCCACTTACAGTGTGGAGGAACCCTACAGAAGAAGAGCTGTGTGTGGTACTTACTCCTCCCCAGGTCTGACCTTCTAGGAGTTGGCTAAAAGTTCTAACCAACCGTGGCAGGGAGGGACAATTACATAAAATGGGGAGGGGAAGAGGGGTGTATTTCAGAATTCAAAGCTAGTAGACTGACAAGAAGCATTCATCTGAGAATCAAACTAACAATAAGGAACCATAAATCCGGGAGATCAACGGCAAACTCCCTCCTGCCCCGCCTCCCAGCAAACCCTCCAAACCTTCATGGAGCTCAAAGGGTTCAGTCCCCGCTGATGGGGTCTCTGGGCCTTTCCAAGACCAAACCCGATGTTGCACTCAGGATGCTGTCCCTGCATGTCCCCTCTTGGCTCTGCCACCTGCTAGTTCCATGCACCTGGGCAACTCCCTAACCTGAGCCGCTGGCTTCTCATATGTCAAATGATGACTATGAGACCCACCTCAGACAGTTGCTGTGAAGAACAAATGAGAACATTCGCAACTTAGCACATGCCTGGCACACAGGGAGCCTTCAAAAACGGCAGCTGTTTACTATTTAAAAAAAATTACTGTGGCTTCAGGAGGAGGGTTTGGTGGTGGTGGCGGGGGTGGGGAGGGCAGGTAATGTTCTTGATCTGTATGCTGGTTGTGCAGGAATCTTCACTTTGTGAAAATCCAGCAAACTGTACACTTCTTAAAAATTGTGGTAAAATCATATAACAGAATTTGCCATTTTAACCCTTTGTAAGTGTCCAGTTGAGCGGCATTAAGCACAGTCACACTGTTGTGTGACCACCTCCATGCACACTTTCGATATGTGCCCTTTTCTGCATATATTTAAATAAAAATCTTTAAAAAAAACCACTCCTGGCCCTGTTAATGATGACAATAATAATAGTTAAAAAAACCACAACCCTGTAACCACGCAGTGTCTTCTGGTGTCCAGAGGAGTCACTGGCCTCTTATGGGAAGAATTTCGTTCTTGCTGTTCACAGGTGGCATTTACTCAGTGTACGGTCCTGAGAGTTGGGGGCATCTCAGGGAAGGGGTAGGCTTTCGAAGGAGGCAGTTTTCAGGGCCTAAGGGAGTGGGCCCTGTTACAATGGCCACTCCTCTTTTCTGGGATGTGCAGTGTGAGCAGGGCTGCCTCTCGCCTGCCCTTGCTCATCCCTCGGGAAAGCCGAAGGGCGAGGCTTCAGGTCCTTCCACCATCAGGAAATCCAGTTTGCTCAGGGAACAGAAGACAGAGCAACCAGACCTAGAGGCACAGAACTTCCCTCTACCCGCAAGTGGCATTCTTTCCCAACCACTGGGGAGTGCTCACAAGGAGAACTCAAGGAAAACACACGGAGGAGGCCTGTGGGACATCACCATTTTCTTCGGAGCCTGGACTTTTTGAGAGCCCTTGTCCATGCACACTGCCTTAACCTAATAGAGGCAGTGTTCCAAAGTGACAGGGAAATCTGGCCCATATTTACTCTTCCTGATGGAGGTATTCAATGTAGGATTTGAAGTGAGTGATTCTCACCCTTGAAATCTCCCTGATGTCTGTTTAACTGTTGTTCCTACTGACCACGTTTAAAATGCATGCATTGTAGTCACTCATGAGTGGGCGAAATCACTTCTCCTTCCACGTCACAAAGAATTCAGTCACTCGCAAATTTTCATTATGGGAAAACGCCTCCATAGGCTTCACCAATCGAATGTTTAGCAGTTTTGAAAACAGAAGGAACTTGTTGCCAGCCTTAAGTGAGGGCTTAGCTAGTGCAGCATGTGAAATGTGAAGGAAATCTCAAGGCAGAGAGAGGGTGATGCCGGCAGCTGAGCCTCGCGCCAATCCTCTGAAACTGTAGATCTGCAGAGGGCGAGGCTGGTGCTTTTACAACCTTTAAACCCAAACCCAAACCACTGACCCTGCTACTGTGGTATCCTCCCAAAAGCTCCTTGGACATTCAGTGCCATAAAATACGGCACTGTTCACTGACTCTTCTTTTCTCAGGTTAAATTGCTATGAATTAATCAATCTAGCATTTCAGATATCTGAAAAGGTACAGACTGGTAACACAAGAATTGCTTCCCAGTCTGAAAGGCATGCAAACCTCCCCCTTGCTCTCCAAACTTACGAGCTGTTCAGAATTTGAAATTTTTCTCCTTTGTGAAAACTCAGGTCATCTTCCGTCCGTGCTTCATAATCATAAAGGGCCACGAACAGGGTCACTCCTGACAAAACAAAATCAAAAGGGGAGAGATTATTACACAAAGGGAAATTAATTCCAAGAAATTAAATCTTCACTAAAACCTCATCCTCAAAAATCTACATCTAATCAGCATTGATAACATGATGCAGTGTTGTAATTAATGTGTGAAAACCAGAGTTGCGGGGCTGAATTTATGCTTTAGTCTTTGTAGGGGAAGCATTATTTGATCTGACAAAACCCTGGAGTTAAAGGACTGTTCTCTGTACACTTCTGAATGAGTCCTCAGGAAGAGACAGATGTTAATATCATGTCCACTACCGAAGGGCAGCTGCGGCGTCATAGTTCAGATCTGCAGGGCTCTGCAGCACTACAGACAGCCTTTATTCGACACATGTCTCCTTCGTTCAGGATCCCACATTAGGTTCTGGGTAAAATGAATCACTCTTTCACCTGGTGATGTAGAACGTAATAGGAAACTCCTTCTGCAGCCAGGGGACATTCAGAGAGGACCCTCTCGGTAAATGTCCACCCCAGTTAGAGGCTGTCTTGCCCTTGGCACCTGCAATCGCTTTGGGGACTCCCTCCGTCTCTCTCTCCTTCTACCTAGAAGCCACCTATCCTTGCACTGACTTGAAGTACTCACTCTTCCTCATACCCGTCTGAGGTCTTCTCATCTGGTTGACTCCCCACAGAGGCCCTTCCTGCCTTGGGGAAGTTTGCTATCAACAGCAAAGAATATCCAGCCGTCCCATTTGGCCTAGGACTTCCTCCATACCATAGGCTGAATTCTAAAATAGCCTCAATGATTCCCACCTCCTGGTATTCACGCCCTTGTGCAATCCCCTTCCTGAGTGTAGGCCAAACCTAATGACTTGCCTCCAACCAACAGAACATGGCAAAGATGATGGGATGTCCCTAAGTGATTAGGCTTCAAAGGATTGTGACTTCCGTCTTCCTAGCAGACTTTTTCTATTGCCACTTTGGCTTGGACAGTTTGATGAAGCCAGCTGCCATCCTGGAGAGGCTCACATGACAAAGAGCTGGCCAACAGCCAATGAGGAACTGAGTCCTGCCAACTCCACATGAGTTTGGCACAGATCCATCTCAGCTGAACCAGGAGATGACTACAGCCTAGCCAACACACCTTGACTGCAACCTGTGAGAGCTTCTGAAATAGAGGACCCAGCTAAGTCATTCCTGGATTCCTGACCCACAGAAACTGCGAGATATTAAATGTGTATTGTTTGAAAGCTGCCAGGTTTTGTGGTAATTTGTTATGCAGTAATTGATAACTAATACATTCCATTTCTCTGCTCTCCAGCTTTTCTTTTTTGGTCTCCACACACTTCCAAGTGCCTAATGTGGCCTAAAGAACGCACAACATGGATTCTACTCTTCACCAAGCTGCTATTTTGCTGTGTCAGTAGTTCCAAGGGAACAGATGTGCCCATGGGACTCCTCAAGAACCAGAGAGGGAGGTGAGCTTTTCTTTCCATCCATCCCAAGAGAGACTTCCTGTGGGAGAGTTGGCATTCAGAAGGTCTGACCATGCAAAGCAGGGCTCATTTGGCAACTGTCCTCCTTTCTTTAGATTTCTTTGAAAAGTTAGAAAAGGATTGCCTTGAAGAAAAGTGCGGGCCTTACGGTCATGCTGATTCTCATTTAGCACTCTATTAACAGATTCCCTTCGTTACATAATTTAAAAACAAACCCAAGCTCCATTGTGTGGAAGACAAGGCACATGAGGATGGACACTTCCGCTCTGCCACTGTCTCCCTGCTTCAGCTGGCAAGTTCTCACTGGGTGTTTTTATCTTCTAGGGACAGAGGGGAGAGTCAAAGGAGGTCACAGGGACACACAGACACTGTTCTGGGCCTTAAAGCAGCGGTGGGGAGAAGGACATATATATATAATAAAGCCAAATAACACAGGGCAGAAAAATGTGCCAACATTTGGGGGATATAGTGTTTTAACCTAAGGGACCAGATGGCCTCTTATACTAAGATTGTCCCTGACTACAGTATAGACCCCCATGTTCAAGGCGAGTAGCCCTCTCCAGTGACTTTATGAATGATACCTGCAGACACAGGGACTCATATCCAGCATCATGAATGAATGAACAAGGTCAATGTCTGTGTCAGCAGAATTCAGAGTCTGGTTGGCAAAGCACTCAGCAGGCACAGGAAGCATGTGCCGGGTGCACTTTTGGTTCTTTTTTTCCTCCCGCATCCTCAAGAGACAGTCTTCCCTAGACTACCCGACTGCCTCTTTCTTTCCTCCCTTCATCCCAGATGCCTTCCAGGGAGGCAGAAGGGATGAGCAAGGATACCCAGCAAGCATTCAGCCATGCAAGGCCTGCTTTATAGGGAAAGCCAGATTGACCATAACACAAGGACATAACGCAGAGCTCTGGGTCAGGTCCTTGATATGACTACACTGCCCTGCTGCATGCGGAGGGAAGAAAACCCTGCCAAGCCCTCAGTGGTGCCAACTCCCCAGGTGAAAAGGCACAACGGGCCCTGAGATAAGACATCTGCTCCCAGAGGCTCTGCAAACATCATGGCTGATGTATATTTCTTTAAACTTTTGTAATAAACAAAACAATTTTGGAACAAATGATGCCAAATATCTAGTTACCATGATTCACATACTGGGGGAAGATTTGGAAGACTCAGGATGCATGAGATAACTTACAAATATTTCAGAAAGCATATGTCTGAGAATGCATGCCAGACATTTTACAAAGTATTAGCTAAGTCAGCAAATGCACATGGCAGTAAAACACAGCCTTGTGGTGGGAAAGAGAAGGAAACTTAAAACAGAGCGAGAGAGAAAGATCCCTCAAGGATACATAGATTCAATTTTAAAATATGAAAGATACATGGAAATACTTTGGGGGCTGATAAACTCAGTCATATGGAAGATGATGGAAGATCAGAGAGAGAATCAACGAAGACCAATGGCCAAAAAATAATGCTGCCAAACGACCCCACTGGTTGGGAAGTGACAGGCAGGCTGCAGATTCGGAACATGAGGGAGAAGGTGTTACCCCTGTGAAGTGGTTCTTGACCAGGGGATGGGAGGGAGGAGTGCATGAATATCTGGAGAACTCAAAACATTCACACTCAGATCCGGTCCTGGAGTTTCAAAAGATCCAGGATGGAGCACAGGCTTCTGTATTTTGAAAAACCTGCCCTAGTTATTCAGAGTCAGCCGGCCAAGGCCGAGAGCCGTCGGCCTAAAGCACCTCAGCAGAAGCTGCATGTCATGACGCATGCAGAATTCTCGCAGAGCAGCCACTTGGGGTTACTCCGAGCTACCGTAGCCAGCATTTTGATTTGTACATCAAGTTCTGGCATTTTTTTACAGCTCCCTATCTGCTGGAGGATAGGTAGAGATTGACGAAAACCTTAAACGTTAAATCCTCAGCCAAAGAAAGCTGACTGGAGCACAGTTATTCAATTGCCAAAAACAATTACGAGCAGCTTAATTCTTACCTGTTCCTCCTCTCGTACGCAAGGTCCCAGTATGAGACGAAGAGTTCACACCCCCAAAGACGGTGAGTCCTTGGCCCCCGGCTGCGTGGAAGTTGTTGTAGTTTGGGATGGAGGTCACGCCGAAGCTGGGGTAGTGCTGAGGAGTGGGGTCTGTGCCATAGCGGTACCCGGAGCTCTGGTTCAGGCTGCCGTCCCTCTCCTCTGTCAGTTTTGTTGCTTCTTTATCCTTACATTGCACACAGCCCATTATCTAAATTCCTGCCGAAAACCAAAAGGAGGCACTTGAACTTGGATGCTTGGTACTTGTTGGGTTGCTTGACTATTAAAGGATCACCCTTGGACATTTCAGGCCTATGAGGGGGTACGAGGAAAAGCAGTGGCTAGGGGTGATGGTTAGAAGGAATCTCAGTACCCTTAACTTTACAATCACATTCGCTGCTCACGTGCTCCGGGTGATGGGATCAACAGAGTTCAATGTTCACTTTGTAGTAGTTTTCCTCAAATGAGGTCTGGACCCCTTAAAATTCCATAATGTCACACACCTGCTGAAAGACAGCCCGATAATACTTACTTATAATTCTCTTCTTTAGTCATCTCAAAAAATCATGTATGCTCTAGAAAGTGAGTCTGTGTTCTATTAGAACAAAAACCTCCATCACGGCAAAGGAAGTCTGAAGAAGAGGTCAGAGGTGAGCTGGAAAAGCCAGAACACAGCCCCAGAACAACCACCACACATCTCCACTCATGGGGACCATCCTTCAGGCACATATTTGGTAAATTTTAAGCAGTTAAGATGATGATGAGTATCAAAATTAAGAAATGATTGCTGGATAAAAAATAAAATCGGCAGAAACTAAGAGGTCTCAGCATATTTGCAGGATGTCAGGATAGCCTAAAGTAACAAAACCATTTAAAGCTGCTAATTAACTTTCCAAATTTCCATTAGCTTTTGACATCTTTCGAAAACATTTAAAGAAATCACCCCCCACGTGCCAGAGTTAGTGGTGGGTTAAAAACTTGCGTTGTTGTCACCCCATACTCCTCAGAACCTACTTCTCTTGTGCTCCTCATCTCAGTACATGGCGTCACCAATAACCCACTTGCTCAAGTCAGAATCCTGAGAAGTATCCTTATTTGCTTCTCCTTGTTTACTTCTCACACTCTATTATCCAAACATACCGAAATTCTCAGTGCCTCAAAGCTTCCATTTTTGCTTCTTCAGTCCTCGGAATGTGGCCTTGAACGCTCTTTCACCACCCTTTGGTATTCAACGTACCCTTCCCATCCCAGTTAAGACACCACTTCCTCTGCAAAGCCTGCTCTGCTCCCCCTGCCCTCCCCCAGGCTGGGCTGGTGCTTTTCCTAAATGCTCCCCTGGCAGCTTGATTTCCATCATTATGGCACCTATTGCATGATATTAAAACATGGCCTGTCCGCTTGTCTCATTGCCCAATGGACTGTGGGTTCCAGGAGAGCAGGGCCCTGTCCATTTTTGTCATAGTTACATTGCCAGGGCCTGGCACAAGTAGGTGTTCAGGAAAGAGCAATGGAAAGAGTGAAGATTCTCCAGCTCACTATGTTTCAATTTCATCCTTTCTCTCTGCATCAAGACCAACTCTTCTTCCAGCGTCTTTCATCAGCAGTTTGCCCTGCATTTTTGCATCTATTGGTAGGTGTGAGAAGTGAAGACGATTCTGAAATCCAAGTTAAGTGGGTTAAAGGACCCCGCTTTGGACTGCAATACTCTGCCAAACTGACAGGGAGTACGTACAATGCGCAATGGATGTCTGCACCAAGACTCTGAAAAGTGGCCCATTTGGGACTAGAGAACCAAAGAAGAAACACATGACATCATGTGTAATTACACGTATTCACTGGGGAGGGCACAGCTGGTACAGGACGGGAAGGGACAAGGCGGTGAAGGAGAATGAAAGAGCTAGCTTTCCTACAGTATCTTGCAAACCAAAGTGGGGAGTGCCACGTCAGACAGGGACACTCTTGGGGGGGCACAGTTCTGAGCACTGCTTTTCTGCTGGACGAGGTCTTGGAAACAATATCAGACTGTTCTAAAGCCCTCTCACATTACATGTTTTAATAAATACTTATTGAATTGAATGTCAGTTCCTGAGAATGCAAATGTTTGGAAATGAGCCGCCTACTGCTTGAGCTGAGATCACCAAATCTGGAACACATTTACGCGTAAATCATTTGAGAGGAACTTACAGTATACTGTGTCCAACATGTTCTCTAACTTACGGTAAACGAACACGATTTTAACAAGTTTCCAATAGGAAATGCAAAATATCTCCAAGGCATGATTTACTGAAGGAACTTCACCATTTGTTGTTGGTGTTGCTTCATAAGACTGATAAATATCTTGCTCACTTTATATTAACTCTTTCATGGCAGAAAGTGGTTCCAAGCTTCTACAAAGGCCAGACAGAAGACACTTCCTGTCCCAGGTGCTTTTTTCAGGGATTTTACTGATCTACTGTAATTAGAGGATGTGATAACGTGAATTATAGAATCACACCATTTACACCAATGGTTTTCTGCTGGGGGTGAATGTGTTCCCCTACTAAGGGACATATTAGGCAATGTCTGGAGACATTTCTGGTTATCACAACTCAGGAGTAAGAGGTACTACTTGTACCTAGTGGGTGGAGGCCAAGGATGCTGCTAGACATCCTATAATGGACAGGACAGCCTCCAACAACAAAGAATTACTTGACCCCAAACATTAACAGAGTCAAGGTCAAGAAATCCTGATTTATGGAAAGAATTTATATCTATTATCTTCGAAATAGTTGCACAACTGTTTCTTACATGCATGTGATTAACATGCAGCGCAGAAGGCCGGCCTTGGAGAATAGACATGTGAGGTAGAAGGAGGCAATTTAAAAAATTGACATGAACTATTCTGATTTTTCTCCAGAAGCCTGTTCCTTGTGATTGAGAAAACAATCTAAAACCAATGAGAACTCTCATTATAAACTACTCCTCCAACTCTAACCAAACCCAGCCCAACTCTACATCAGAACCCCGCTGAAAACAGGACCCTACATCTAACCAAACTAAGAAAAAACCAAACTTCCAAAATCCACCCAAAAAAAAGCGTTACCACTGCAATAAACGACTAACAGCTGACAGTATATAATTCTATGAAATAACAGAAGGGAACAAATCATAAGCCCCTTGAAGACAGGGATTATTTTTTAGTTTTTCTTTTATTATTGCATCCCCAGTGTCCAGAACAGTGCCTGGCACACGGTAGGAGCTCAATAAATATTTGTTAAATGATTAAATGCAAAAAACCCAAAACTCAATCACAATCATTCTGGAGAAAACAACTCCCTTTTATAGAAGGGACAGCTTTTTGCGACTTTATGCATTTGCAGCTGGAGTAAGGAATGTCTCTGCACAGATCTTGCTTACCCTCTTCCCTTCACTGACAGACATGAAGAAACCAAAATACATCAGTAAATGCAGGCTCCAGTCATTAAAAGTTAATCACAATGAAAATATTTGTGTAAGAGCTTGCAGTCTTCTTCCTCCCACTTGGGGCGGTCAGACTAACCATTTCCTGATGGAAGAGTCAGAAGGTGCTACATGAGTGGTACTCACTGTGACTTCAGGCTCCTTGCCATGAGGCAAACTTCTGAGCCTTCGGGTTAAAATAAAAACATCCTTTATTACGGAGAGTTCTGTGGTGTGGCTTTTATGGCCAATGCTGTAGGTCCATCTTGAACACAGAATGCACTAATACACTTGCTCAAGATCTGTGGGGCTTTGGGTAACACTGAATAATGCCCTTCCAAAAGTAGGGCCCTGGAGTTACTGATCAGTGACTCATACTCCATGAACATACCCGTGGTTCTCTGTGTGTTGCTATCCCTGGAAAAACTGAAGGACAAGTACTTTGACCAATAGGATCCTATGTCTGTGGTCAAGGTATTTGGATTATGGCTGTGAAGTCCCCTATTCTCCAATTCTTCTGCAAACTGAGGGGCTCCGTTTCTACTATGTAAGTAAAACCTGATTTACTTAGAATGTCCTTAGTCCTGCAGATCTTCTTATATGTGCCAAAAGCATTAAGCAACTCAGAGAAAGAGTTGCTGAAGAAAGAATCCAATGATGGCCACACTCTGCTCCCGTGAGCATGGCAGACATCATCAACTGACCAGAGCACTTTCTGGTGCTATGCCATGTGCAGCCTCAGGATCCTTCTTCACACAGTCCTAGAGTGATTGACTGAAGCTGACATAAAGGATGGTATCTATCCACTACCCTGGGCTCAGGCTGCTTTGATCCTCCACCGACGCTACAGAGCATGATCTGGTCTGCCAGATGCACATTAACACAGATATGCTCACATTTCCTCATATGCCCGTCAATAAAGCAACACCTGTAGGTTCAGGTTATAATGTCGCAGGACTTCTAAGGTTTCAGGCGTGTGTAAGATCTGGGTACCAAAAAGGGAGAAGGCCACTGGCAGTCTTCTGCAGAAGCAAACTGCCTTCTCTTGAGACACATAAATGAGCAGGCAGAGGAGGGATGGCAGGAGGAGGAAAGGTGAAACTGACAACAAGTAACCTCAATTTCAGCAGTCTAGGCACTTTTGTCTCAGAAACCAACCTAGGTGGCAGTGGAGAAGTGACAGCCCTTGGGCACATGTTGCCCTCTTTGCTCCTGACAGCCCAGACTTTGGAGAGTGACAGGTAAAGCCACGTTGGCCTGTACTCTGACATGGGACGTTTACTGGTAGGATCAATCGCCATCCCTTTAGCTGGTCTCCACTTTACATGGGCAGGTATCAGAATTAAAGTAAAAGAATAAGAAGGGAACCTAGAAAGCAATACAAGTAACTGAGATGAGGACGGTGGAAAGAGAATTTAAAGCTGAATTGTAGATCGACTGTATACTTTCATACACTGGTCTGGGAGAAAAGCAAAACTGGTAGCTTAACGAGCAAACCCCACTTTCAGTCACCAGTAATAACATGAGGTGAAAGGATAAGATGTGGCAGAGACAGCAGAAATGACTTGATTTCTGATAGAAGATTCATGGCAGGGGACTCCTGATCCTTGTACAACTGGAAACACCCCTAGGAACCAAACTGAGGTATGCTGCTACATTTGCAATACGGAACAGGAATCCCTTGCAAGTCTAGGCAGGCCTTGCCTCAGTTTTCATCGTGTAACTGCTGGAAGCAGGGCCTTTAGAGACAGACGAGTGCCACACTGGGAGCAATGGCAGTT